TACTCAAATAGACGAAGATTATCTAAGAGACGTTTGGAAGCGGTTGATGATTCTTTTTTCTACCGAACATTTCGGGAACATTCTGAATTACCACTAGAAACCTTGTTAACCTTAAACATAAAATCGTTTAAAAGGAAAATTATTACAGTACAGAAACGAAAGTTTCCCGTTTCAGAAGAGCGTATGAGTGAAATCAATTACTGTCGTTGTCGCATAGGTCTTACACAATTAAAATATGATTTGTACAAACGAAGCCTAACAGATGATCCCTTTTGTGAGTGTGGAGAGATTGAGACTATTGAACACTACATACTGCATTGCCCATCTTATCAAAATGAGCGGAATATTTTATTTAGTCAAATAGCCATTTGTTTTCCAAATAAGACTGTTACTCTTCCCTTACTACTACTCAAAGATAATGCTATTCAACAGGTTGATTTAGCCGAGTATTCCCGTTTCGTCGAAAGCTTAATTAATTATCCCGTTTCGTCGAAATATCTCTTTCCCAGTGTTCCTGTTTGAAAATAAAAATACCACTGTTCCCGTTTCGTCGAAAACACAAATTAGTTGAAGATAAATTGGTTCAATTGATATAATTGTTTCAAACATATTAATTAAACAAGTGCGTAAGCACTCTAAGCGAGTCTATAGAAAGAATTTACTAGAGAGAACTATTTTATGTGTATATACAGTAGTACAATAACAAAAAAAAAATCAAAATTTCTTAAGGGCCACCCCCTCAGAAATTATCTCCCACACTGTACATCCGATCTTGACGAAACTTTCCATAAATGTTCGGCACAATGAGTTACGGGAATGAAAAAATTTTTTTGTCTCCAAGTCTTACGGTTTACTGTACATTGTACAGTATCGCACTGTTGAAGCAAAGAAAGAAAGAAGGAAACATAAGTAAATCCGGAAAAACGAACGCCTTAAATATGCGACGCATTACGATGATTAAACGTCATGACAATATACGATCGAGAGAGATTTTCTGTTTCGGGTTATCACAATTCGAATGAACTACCACTTGGACAAAAAATCAAGTTCATTTTTTAACCTTATCGTACTCTGAAGAAGTCGTTTACGACGAAATGTCACGTTATGAAATTTTGGATAATTTAAATAAATTTGTGGAAGAGAATTACACTACGACAAACTTGTCTAGTTTCACCCTCACAGTGTATGAAAACTGCAGATTTTTAACAACTTTAGTTTGAAAGTTATTGGGACTATGAGAAACTACTAACTATGAGAATATAAAAGAAAAGGAAAATAAATGACACACACATAGGTGTTGCACTGCAGTCAGAAGAAAGTGTGCATAATGATTTTTCTTTAGAGCCCAACTAAACTCCTCAAACAGAATTTTGGTCTCCTATCCCGGTCCATGGACGTCCGCTCAGGCCGCTGGGAGTCAACTTTCTAAATCGCTTATGTCACCTGTGTTTTCATGCTCAATTGATCAGTTTCGAACCGGTTCGCTATCTTCTCTGTTATTTAAAAGCTTCTCAGTGAATAGCTGGAATTGTCGCACTTCTTTTCACCATTATTAATATTACAAAATATAACGATTATATTGAAGCCAAAGATGAGCTCAATTTCCAAACTACACCTCGACTCTAAAAATTCCAGTTATATTTTCATCTTTCAAATTTCAAATACGAAGTCAACTTCAGATTCGAAACTCGACTTTCTTTTGTCGGACCATTTGAACTTTCAAATATGCTTTCATCTCCATCGAAGTATTTCTTTATGAATCTATGAAAAAAGACTATTTCGACGATGAATGTGCGAATAATTCATTCAATAAACCCTCATTTCTCGTGATTTTGCACAATGAGAAACATATACATTCTAACTCAGCCCGAAAACATCGTTTATTGTCGTATTATTAATACAGTAGTATATCTGACTGTAAATGTCATGATCCATAATAAAAAGAAAAAAAACCACATGCATACATATCAGATCAAGGATTACAATAATATTTCCTCTCTACAACACAAACACTCACTCAATAAATTTGACTTGACTTATTCTCGAAATAGGTCTCAGTTTGAATAAGTTTATAAGCACAGGTTTATTTAGACAATATATGATTTTCACAATATTTTATCATTTTTAAAATAAACGGTATTTAAAAATACCAAGCAACGGACTAAATTATATGTTTACTCAAAGGAAATAAAGACAAGGTAAGGTTATAACATGTTTGTCTCAATACAATTTCATCTTGTAATCATGTCAATTTGACAACTGCAGTTCTATCAAGATATAGGGTGAATGGATATCTACTGTAGAAAACTTTCGTTAGCGTGTATACTACCCTTAAGTCTACCCCTGTCCATAATTAGATTTATTCAAAACGGTGTTTGTTTCATTCCGAAAAGCCCGTGTCTGTCGTCACATGTACACTTTAGGTAGAGGTGCGAACGTCCATTGATTTTAAAATACATCTGTACAGGCGTGTTTAAGTTTAGAAATTGTAATTATGAATTATCTTCTTGGTGTAGTTGGTTTTTTCTTATCGTCACATTGTTCATGTTTGTACATTGATTTAACATATTCGTTATCTAATTCAAATTCTTATTTTCCAACCGAAACACGATTCAATTTTACAGAAACAACGGCTTTATGGACAAACGATAGTTATTTTTATTCATCCAATACATTTAAAACGTCGGAACATATGGGTACCCATCTCGATGCACCGTATCATTTTTCAAATGTATCATGGAAAACCGATCAAATACCAATCGAACGTTTGATGAGTATTGCTAGTTTAATTATTGATGTTTCAATACAATGTAAACAAAATAAAAGTTATGAAGTAACAATAGATGATATAAAAAAGTATGAGCCAATCAATTTAAAAAAGTATTTTGTTATATTATTCTATACTGGATGGACACGATATTGGTCGAATCAAACAGCTTATGCCGGTCCCAGCTATAAAGATAACAGTTCAAATGGATTAGAATTTCCAGGTGTAAAAGACGAAACAGCCGACTATTTGGTGAACAAATATAATCAGACGTTAGTGGGTGTGGGCATTGATACTTTATCAAGTAAGTCACATATTCATCATCCGTTACTAACTGTGCTTTTTTCTATTGTTTTATTCAACAAAACGATACCGGTATCCCACTGAGACCACGACAGATTTCTTTTTTTCTGAACTTAAAAGGAATGAGTGCAAGTTTTCGATTAAATCGGAATGTTTCAAAAGAATCCCTTCTTCTTAAATGTACGCATTACTCAAGTGACGCGTGCGTAGTACTGATGGATTTTACACACGTTACGACTCGGAGGTTCTTGACTCAATCAAGCGTTAGCACAAGAGACCGTCAAAAGATAAAATTTATTTTTCTTCGAAACGACTTCCATTCGACTCAGCATACAAAGGTAGGTATACCATTTTCATTTAGGCTATAGAACCTCTTAGATGTTGAGAAAATCAGATTTTCCCTACAGTCCCTTCAGTTTTTCTCAAAAATGTCATTTTTTCAGTATGTTACCTACAGTCCCGCGAAGTTTTGTTCAAATTTTTGAACAGCATATCATTCGAAAGAGTGTGAAAAATCAATTTTTCTGCTACATTGTGATGAAGTGTGGTTAAGAAAAAGAATTACGACAAATGAACTATTTGAAACAAGATGGAAAATTATATTTCTTAACCAAACTTCATTACAATGTAGCAAAAAGTTGATTTATCTAAAACTAAATCTTGTACCCAAAATAGTTTTCCTGAGCCAATGTTATAAGATCGATGTACGCGTATTCCGGATGATGAATATTGGACATTACTGACTGTGGTTACTTTAGCCAGCACAAATTCCTCAGCCAACAATCCTGAATAACCGATCGCTGACGAATTATCTTAAAAACCTCGGAGAACCTGATTTCCCAGTTTTTAGCTAAACGTTTTTCGAAAAATCACTGAAACACACATAGTTCGATTCTGTTTATCACGTTGATAGCAACTATTAACTTTATTTTGTCTCCGGACAAGTATAAAGAGACTAAATCGCAAAATATTCATATTTTTTTGAAAAGTTCTTTCGACCAGTCCATCCTGTTTGCAGCTTTTCCCTATTAGACCAAAGTTTTTTCCAGGAACTTTTGCGCCCAGTTTGTTCAGAACTGCTAGGGCTACCAAAATGTGCTTATTTTCGTTTGATTGGCTATTAAGTACACTCAAATTTCGATTTACTCGAAAAAACTAGGCTTCTAAAATCTGAACGACTTTGAAGTTTTAAATTTTCCAGCATCAGTTTTTAACTTCAAAATTACAAAAGATACGGCGTTTTATTCAATTTTTCACATCCTTTCGAATGAATGTTGTTCAAAAAATTTGAACAAAACTTCTAACTATAGGTAAAATACTGAAAAATGGCATTTTTGAGAAAAACCGAAGGGGCTGTAAGGAAAATGTGATTTTCGCAACATCCAAGAGCTTCTATAGCCTAAATAGAAAATCGTATGCCTACTTTTGTATGCTGAATCGAACAGAAGTCGTTTCAACGAAAAATAAATTTCACCTCTTGACAGCAATCCTCGATGTAGTAGAAAAGTCTCTCTTAAGAAAGCATATTTATAATCTGTAAGGAAAACTATAGTTCTAATATATGCATCCGTGTTTCACCTTATGAATCATAAATAAAAGGACACTTTTCTTTTCTTTTCTTAAAGCAATTAGTTAAAGTTGGAAGACTGTGTTCTAGGCTTATTCAATAGAGAATTTACCGCTCCACAAATCTCTGAAAATGCAATATTAATATGAATACTGGTCATGTGCCTTGTAAAAGAGAGTTTCGTAGTCGCAAATGAAGAGTAAAACTACGACGCAATGAAGAGGATGCATTCATAAAAGTACTACAGCTGACCAATTTTTTTGCAAAGATATAGCAAGTTTCATACTTTATCTACTTTATGTTAAAAAAGTTTCGTCATTAAATAGGTTAATACGAAATACACATTTTTCTAAAAGTTTCCTACATACACTGAAATAGCCAAAAATAATAAGGATATAGATTTATAGATTTTTATCCACATGGCACACGGTTTCACAAGCCCATTCCAACTTCAAATGATAGAAAGAATTTCCTGCTCTACAGAATTCACTACATGTCCCATCAAACACCCATCTTTTGGCTCACAGTATCTGCGCTTTTCCCAAAATGTGCTGTTTCCCGAAAGCCCAAAATGACTTGTGCAAATTTTCCTATTTCTTGTATCGATATGACAAAACGGTCTAGCATAGGAGACAGGCCTGCATCCGTCGAACATTTCTATAACATGTTGCAATCAGATTTTTTCGATATTGAATGGGGCTTGCCACAGGGATCGGCTCTCTCTCCATGAATTTATATTCCATATATGGCCGATTTAACGGAGCTTAATGAAGCAAGATTCCATAAAGATCATTTTTTTGCGGATGATTGGTCGCTATTTTTGAGGTTCCCTTTGGTATCGAGTATCGCTATTCTTTCAAGTTGTTGGAATATCTGGTTCAAAATGTTCTTGATGGGATTAGGACGTCCAATTCTCTTTGAACACAGTCGTAGTTATTATCATTTAAGGCGCAAAAGAAATCGAGCTTTTCAATTAGAAAATGCAGACGGTAAAGTTGAGTCAGTCAAAGCTGGAAGAAGTGGCGTAAGGAAGTTAATCAGGTCTTAAACAAAGACAAAAATGCACATTTTAACCAAATTTCTAGCTCCTTTACCTCATCGACGACCTTTTGCGCCGCCATTAATCGGATAAGACAAGGTAATACTAGTCTATCCGCAACAATTACTAATGAGACTACGTCTGCCTCAACTGACCCGAAAAAAGCGGACCTCTTTAGTCAATATTATTCTAGCTGCGTTACGTCAACATCAGGTCCCATACCAACACCCAATTCAACTTTCACCCCACAACTACTCTCAATTTCACATGTCCCTCTAAGGAGGCAATAGTTTTAGCTATTAACAACCTGCGTAATAACATCGCTTGTGATCCAGACGACATCCCAGTGGTTGTGCTAAAAAAGAATGTTGCAATTTTTGCACACCAATTGCATTATATTTTTAAGTTATCAGTTGAAACTGGAGATTTTCCATCAAAGTGGGGATCCCACCCACAAAAAATGCTCAAAATGTGTTGTGTCTAACTATAGACCAATTTCTCTCTTGTCCATAGTGAGTGAACTATTGGAAAGATTTATTTACGATCAATTGTTTACTCATTTGAGCGTAAATAAATTCTTTTCCAATAACCAGTTCGGCTTTTTACCAAAAACATCGACAATTGATGCTTTATTATATTTGTTACATAATCTGACAAATAATCTTCATAAACAACCACCAGTAGCCACCGGCTTAGTCACATTTGATATGGAGAAAGCCTCTGACAAAGTTCCCTATAAAATAATCAATTCTCGTTTGTCAGCGTTAGGCCTATCTCAAACAGCCTTACAGTGGTTTACGAACTACCTTTCCAACCGTTTCCAGCGAGTAAGAGTTGGCTCTAAACTGTCTACGCCAACTGCCATAATATCAGGAGTAGTACAGGGTTCCATGCTTGGTGCTCTGCTATTCCTAATATTCATTAATGGCCTTCCTGCCGTTGTAGACCTACCGGCTGATACTATCCTCTTTGCCGATGATTGTACCCTCAGCTGCCCCGTAATAGCGACAAACCTATCTCAATTCTGCCAGAGTAACATAAATAAAATCAGTGACTGGTGCAGTTTCAATCTTATGACCATAAACTCGTCAAAATGCGCGTGGATGCTCGTTTCCAATAGTCCTGATATGGCAAATGATTTCAAATTTACCTTACCAGATAGGTCTAACATAAAACGTGAGGAAAGCCTTATTTTACTAGGGCTCGAAATAAGTTGCTGAGATGGTGAGTTCATATAGAAAATCTTGTGCGAACCTGTCGGTAACATCTTGGAGCAATGTACAGACAGTTTAAAGAAGCACCCGCTCATATCCGTCTTCAAATCTATAAGAACTGTATCCTCCGTAAGCTCGATTATACCTGTGCCTTATATAACACCACGCTCAGGTGTCTCGGCTTGAGTCCGTCCAACATCTAGCAGCCCATATGGTTACTCGAAACTTTTCTACTCCCGGTCAGAATTTACGAGGGAACGTTCCCAACTGTTCAGTCACTTTTTAATCGAAATCTAGTGGATTATAGATTATCCATCATGCTGATTCCGAATATGAATATGGGAGTTGCTCTTAGCCTTTCGAAGATCCGATCTTATGGAAAACCAGTTTTTCAGAAACTCCAAAAAATAACAAAAACCTTTCTCAATCAGACATGATTATAACGCGCAAATTTATGATTAAAATGAGACATCTCCCAGCTCTACATGACCTTTCTTTGCAAAGTCATAGAATTTACAAGAAAAGCCCTAAATTGTCCACTGTTGGCTAAAAACTGCGGAATAAGAAGGAAAAAATTAATTTAGGGCTTTTCTTGTCAATTCTATGACTTTGCAAAGAAAGGTCATGTAGAGCTGGGAGATGTGTCATTTTAATCATAAATTTGCGCGTTATAATCATGCCTGATTAAGAAAGGTTTCTGTTATTTTTTGGAGTTTCTGAAAAACTGGTTTTCCATAAGACCGGATCTTGGAAGGGCTAGAGCAACTCCCATATTCATATTCGAAATCAGCATGATCGATAATCTATAATCCACGAGATAAAAAGCGATTGAACAGTTGGGAACGTTCCCTCGCTAGCTAGAAGGTTGAATCTGCCTCTACTCCAAGTAAGACGAAAATACTTTCACCTTCTACATTTTTTAAAATCCTTAACGGCCTCTCTCCTTTATCTAGACTAAATCTTATCCTATACGACCAATCTAGAACATGAAGCCGTCTTAATCATTCGAGAACAGTAGAAATTTCCTTCGCTAGAACAGAAACCGTTCTCCAATCATTTATCTGCCAAACAGCCCGAGACTGGAATCTAAGCCTTCCCGAAGCTGTTGTTACATCACCCACAATAAAGTCGTTCAAAACAAGGCTCAAGAACTATCTTGAGCTTTAATTGTTTTAAAACAAGGTGGCAAAGTTTATAGGTTCTCAGAACTTTTTTTGCCTTCCGAGTAGCATGCTTTTATTTTTGTTTATGTAAAGATGTATATTTGTGTTCTTTTTTTTCACTATCTATCATCTACTTGTGGCTACTAAAATATAAATCAATCAATCAACTGTGAGTTTTGGATGATTGAGTTGAATGTAGGTAAAACCGTGGCACTTTTAGTTCACTCACAACTACAAATACAAAGGATCACATTGAGGTATGGTGGTGATACTATTCGATTTGAAACGACTGTAAAAAGTCTTGGCTACATAATCCCATCAAGACTAGGAAACAGCAAGTTCTTGAAAACCCGACGAGCCAAAATAGCTTCTGTTTTTCGAATGGTTTCAATGATGTTTGTTAGATTTGGTCGTTTATCAATTCATTCGCGACGTCGAGTTTTTTTTACTTTTGTACATCCGTTGTTTATATGGTTGATTCCGATCTTTTTCTATCTGACCGACTTGCAACAGGGAAGTTTAGTGAGTTTATTTGGCTTTTATTTACGAAAAGTTTACGGTTGTCACTATCTGGACTTGGAGTTGTGTTTTTCGATTTCTGCTGAACTCTGGTGGTTCGATTCCATGATCGTGTTTTTCGCTATTGGACAAAATATTCTTTCTAGGTGTGGTCTCATTCTGATTCAACGGCTCTTCTCGAGAAGTACCATGTGAGAGAGTCTATGGCTGTGCTTGAGTCCATAGCAGGTGTCCGAAATCGACATATTGAGCTATTAGTGTCTCGGTATCAACATATTTTTAAAATTTCTT